CCGGCATCGCGCCGCTTTTATTTGGTTTATAAATTTATTTTTTTTCTCTCAGGGAAGGCTATGACTAAGAGAAATCCACAGTTGGAGGGATGGCAGAAGATGGAGGCCCCGTTCCAGCTGCGGGAGGAGAATAAAGTCGGGAGTTTTGCAGACCTGAGGGGCTGCCCAGAATATTCCTCACCCTCCTCCTCCTCCTCCTCTTTCTCCCTCTCCTCCTCCTCCTCTCCCTGGCGGTTCCCAAAACAATCCTATAGTAACGCCAGTCCCAAATGCAGCAGCCAGACAGGAAATTTGGGCTGTTTTCGAGGGCGCCGAGGGGGGTTGAACACCTACCTGGAGCCGTGGGGAGCAGCGAGCTCCGCCGGCCGCCCCGTCCCCGCCGTGCCCGCCCGGAGCGCCCGCCTGGGGCTGCTCAGCAGCGCCGGAGCCGMGGCGGAGATACCCGCATTTACCTACGGCTTCCAGCTCTTTTTTGGCCTGAAATGGGATTTTTCAAGGCGATGCGGCTCCGTGTTTGCCTCGGCACAGCGGAGGGGGGGTTGAAGGTCAGCTTCCCGGCGGATTGGCAGGGAAAGGCTGGGATCAGTATTGGATGGCAGCATTGCTGGGCTGCCATCTCCGCCAATCCCCCTCCTGCGGGAGGTCCGGCTCCGGCCACGGACAAGCGACACTCGTTATTTTAAACCCGAAAATCCCCTTCTTTYCATTCAATACGCCCGGAGAGCTCCCAGCCAGCCCTAAAAGCRCAAGCCCCTATTTTGGGGTGCAAGRAGAGATGTCCGTGTCCCCATCGGGGACCGCGGAGCCGGCGCAGCCCGCGGTTAGCAAACCCTCCACGGCCAGGTGCACATTCCCAAATACCAGCAGCTCTCCTTCCCCGCCCGGCCCGGCAGTTTGGGGTGCAATCCCTTCCCTCAGCCYTATTACATAACCCCCGTAAAGCAGGGGATTCGCTCCATCCCGGGCTGCCAGCGCGCCTCGCCGCTGATTACTCAGCACAAACGGGCCGTAAACAACATCCCCAATTCCCTCGCTCTGCCTCTCGCTGCTTCTCCAGAGGCTCCGGGAAGCTTTTCCTTACCTTTCTGCTCGGCCCCGTGCATGGTGCGGCTGCCGGGGGCGGCGGGGAGCGCTGCGGAGCGCGGCCGTGTCCCGCACGCCGCTGCTCCGCTCGGCATCCGGCGGCGGGGCCGGCTCACGCCGCTGCCTGGGAACTGCGTGCCGCTCCCGGGTTATTTTTGGGATTACAGACTCAGGGAAGGATGGGGATGGAGGCAGACATATCACATCGTCGAAAATGTGGCCTGGAGTGGGATCTGGAGTCTGCAGGGTTGAGCGGCGCAAACCTCACCCACGGGTTTTTTTTTTTTTACTTTCCCTTGATTTTTTTTTTTACTTCCCCTTGATTTTTTATTTTTTTTTTTACTTTCCCGATTTGAAGGATTTTTTTTTGGTTATATGAAATATTACATGTTTTTCAGAAATATATCTCAGACATCAATTTTTTTGTTTTAAAATCATTAAGAAGAGGGTATACATATATATATATAAAGAGATAATATATATCTCATATTTTACAATGAAAACCAAATTTCAAGTAAAGCCTTGATATTTTTTTTTTCTTTCCCTCGATTTTTTAATTTTTTTTTTTAATTTTCCCTGGAGAATGCTAAGTGCTGGATGGGCTCAGCAGGGATGTGAAGTGTCCAAGCTTTGCAGCCCCAGAATTGGGGCAGATCCAGGCACACCTGGGGCACTTTCCTGGGTACCAGGCAGACGAGTGATCCTATAAATATGGGWTTGGACCCATGGAATCATGGAATTGTTTGGGCTGGAAAACACCCCAAGGTCATCGAGTTCTGCTGTTCCCCCAGCACCGCCAAGGGCACTACGGGCCCGTGTCCCCGAGTGGCTTTAAATCCCCCCGGGGATGGGCACTGGGCAGCGGTGCCAGGGCTGGACAGCCYTTTCCATGCAGAAATCTTCCCAATATCGCCCCTCACCATCCCCAGTGCCACCCGAGGCCGTTTCCTTGCCATGGCAGCTCYGCTGGGGTCAGGCTTTAGGATGGGGCCGTGTCCCCTGTGCCCCCCCAGCTCCCCCGATGGCGCTCGGGGCACTCAATCCTTTGATCTCCGCTGGATTTTGGCTCGCATTCCTCCTCTTTTTGACCTCCCAGCTTTTGTTTTCACWCTGAGTTCATTTTCCAGCTCGCACAGATATTTTTCCTCCTTGAATTTCTCTGCCCTTGCCCCCGGAATTGCCCGCAGGCAATAACACATCCGTGCTCCTCCTCCCCGTTTTCACGACCCTCAACCGCGGCATCGCCCCCATCCCTCCCGCCAGCCTCTCCCTCCTCCCGGGCAGCCTTTTCCCTCTTTATCATCCCGTTTTCCCACCCTCCGGATCATTCCCGACGCTCTGCTCACTCCAAACAGGGAGTGCCCCAAGCTTTTATCCGGGAATGAAATTAAAAACAAAAAGCAAACTGGTGCCACTGGGAGGAGGCCCTTCAGCTCCGGGAGTTGAATTCTCGATTGCAGCCGCACGTGGTGGATTCCCCGGGGCACAGGGCACAGCCAGGTCCTGGTGCTCCCCAGGGCTTTTAGCAGGGAGAAGTGAAAAAGGAAATCAAAATGATTTTATGGGTGAAAAGTGGCCCTGCCCGTGAAAAGGGGATGGAATGAGATGGGCTTAAAGTCCGTCCCAACCCAAACCGGTCTGGGATTCTGCGGCTCTGAGATTCTGAGATTCTGAGATTCTGGGATAAGGATGGGAGGAGTGAATGGCTGCATCCAAACTGGCTTTTTAACCAATATTTTGAATTATATCACATAATGAACCCAAACATCTTTGCTGTATCCAAACCCAAATCCTGCTGGGTTTTCCATGTCCAGGCAGGGATGCTCTGATTCCTCTTCTTCCTCCTCTTCCCCTTTCCTTCTCCTCCTCCTCCTCCTCCTCCTCAGCTCCTACAAAGGAACTCCAGGTCAACCCTGCCCTGCTGCCTTCACAAGGCACAACACACACGGACACTGCCGGCACAGGGATCAGCAGGAGAAAATCTTTATTTACATCTTTAGAGCAGTGACACAGCTGCAGCAATTCACCGGGAAGAAACTCCGGAAAAAAAATCTGGGAGAAAACTCCAGGATGAAAACTCCAGGGAGAAAACTCCAGGGTGAAAACTTCGGGGTGAAAACTCCGGGAAGAAAACTCCGGGTTGAAAACTCCGGGAAGAAACTCCGAGGAGAAACTCTGGGAAGAAAACACTGGGAAGAAAACTCTGGGAAGAAACTCCGGGAAGAAAACTCCAGGGAGAAACTCCTGGAAGAAACTCCGGGGAGAAAATCTGGGAAGAAAACTCCAGGGAGAAAACTCCGGGAAGCAAACACTGGGAAGAAAACTCCGGGGAGAAAACTCCGTGGAGAAACTCCGGGAAGAAAACTCGGCACGACATTCCAGGGAGGGAGCGCCTCCTCCCTCCCTCCACACAGTATCTCGGGTCGGTACAAAATTGCTGTGGCTTTACAAAAAGTTTGGGATTCACAGTAAAATACCCAAGGGGAGCACGGCAGGGGCACAGCGAGGGACAGGACCCCATCCCTGCTGGGATTTGGTCTCGGAAAATGSAACAAATCCGGTAGAAAAATCCATCCCGAGGGCTGGGTGCATGCACAGCCCGGGGYTGAACATCTCACACAGGGCTGGAAGCCTGGAGAAGGCATCTGCAAAGCCTGGCCTGGGCTGGGCTCCCTAAAATTCTCTTTTCAGGAGGAATTTTGCAGGAAGGAAGGATGAGACACAAGGACAGGGCAAGGCAAAGCGGGGAGCAGCCCTTCTGCCTGCACTCAGCCTAAAAAATCGCCCAAAATCTCCTCCCTCCTGCCCAAAGCTGTTCCAAAGAAAGCAGCACGCAGGTTTTGGCTATTTCTGGATTTGTGTCTAAAACCAGCCCAGACCTTCATCCCGGGATCATGGGAAAATCCCAAATCTTGCTGAAATAGGATTTCRGTGCCGGCTGGAAGATTTGCGGCCTCTCAGCACGGGAACAGCGAGGGCATGGAAAGGCTCTGGGGCAGCACTGAGAGCTGGCAATCCCTTGGATTTCCAAAGCTGGAAAATTCCCACCAGGAGCAGGATGGGAGCACTCTGGCTGTTCCCCCAGCASGGGAGGAGCAGGAGGGATGTGGACAGCGATCCTATTCTGGTTCCATTCAGGACAGCACCAGGACAAAGCAAATTTTAGGGGATCTTTGGATGCTCAGCTGGGGTAAATAAACCCAGGGAGATGCCAAAGTTCCATACATGGAAAAAAACCCTAAAAAACCGTTCATTGTCCTTTCCTGCCTCTCTTAAGCACCAACAAACCCCCAGCAGCAGAAARGTGCCCAGGCTGCTCTGGATAATCCAGGAGGTGCCAGGCAGTGCCAGGGCCCTGCCCTCCTGTGAGCCCCCCWGGCAGGAGCAGCATTCCCTGCAGATCCACAGCTCCACACAATTCCCAAAAGGCGATGCTTAAATTCAGCTCTGGTTTTTTTTTTTTTGTCTTTGAACTTTTACAAATATACATCTTGCTTTTTTAATTTTTTTTTTTCCTTAAATATATAGCTTATAAAATAAGGCAACTCGAGGAGACAAGGAGAATGTCCCCATTGCTCGGGTACTGCATCCTACAAAAAGAAGATTTTCCAGTTGAGGATTTTCCAGGCCCCAAAGCACTCCAAGGATGCTGGAAATCGTGGGAAAACCCCTGGATGCATCCCAAGGAAGGAAAGGTCTCTGGGATTTCATGGGGAGGGGGTCACTTTGCTGGGGAATGCAGCAGGAACAGCTGAAGGGACCCCCAGCCAGGGGACCTCAGGGACAAAGGCAGCACAGAAGATGGAACGGGAGGATTTCTCCCCAAAACTGAAGCACACGTGGAGATAAATCTTTGGGAGAAGCTCTGAGGACATTGCTATCCTGCAGTATTGAAAGCTATAAACAAGGAAAGCGCGACTCATCCCCAGCCCAGCCCCTGCTCAGTCTCACAGCATTCCAWAAAATCCTGGAGAGCAGATTTTAAACCAGCAATTCACCTCTCCCTGCAGAAGGAGAGTTTTACGTCCAATGTTTTCCCTCTTTTGTGTGTTAATGCTGGGAATGTGATCCTCACACCTCCCAGCTTTGTTTCCACRCTGCTCCTGAAATTCCCACTGGGCTGAGTGTTGCTCTCTGGARCTTTGTTTCTCTAAGAAATACATTTAATAGAAAATAATTTATAGGAAAAGCCCTCGGCCTAGAGAGTCCTCAGCAGTGAATGGTCCCGTGGAGCAGCRGGATGGCACATTGCAGGCTCAGACAGGGGTTGGGGGCTGGCGAGGGATGGCAAGGACACCATGGCAAAGCTGTGTAAACCTGGAATGGTCACCGCCCCAGTCAGCATCACCAATCCGTGATGGAYCACAGGCAGGAAAACTCCCTAGCCCCAAAAGAGGGAAAAACCCCTTATTCCAGCAGGCTTGACCTTATAAACAAAGATCTGATCCTGGTGTGGCTGTACCCACCGATGTCACCCGGTTTGGGATCACCCACCCCCAGCACAGCCCTGGCATGGTGCTGGGACCCAAATCCATCCATGGAATTCCATCCTGGCCCTCGGCACGAGCTGCTCAGTGCTCCTCGTCCGGCAGCACGGGCGGGATCCTGCTGGACAGCAGGGCGTACACGTAGGGCCAGATCTTGTTGGTCTCTGTGCCCGAGAAGGAGTGCAGGATGCCCCTGCTCCTGGAAAAGAGGTGGGAGAAGGGTCAGCTCCAGCCCATCCCGAGGACAGCGGGGTGCACAGSCAGCCTGGAGCACCCTGGGACAGTGGGGGTGTCCATCCATGGCAGGGGTGCAATGGGATRGGCTTTAAGGTCCTTCCATTCCAACCCAAACCAYTCCAGGAGTCGGTGATTYTCCCTTTTCCCCTGCAAGGGCAATTTTGCCATAAATTTTGCCATAAAAACACTCCCGGCACTGCTCCCTTTGAGCAGTGGATTTGCCATCCTGCAGYCATCCATCATTCCCGAGGGAATTCCATTTTCCCAGGGAAAAACTGTCCCACAGCACCAGGGGACAAACCCTGGAACAGCCCTGTGCTCCCAGCAGATCCAGCGCCGGAGTCTCTCCCTTCTCCCACCCTTTGCCAATCTCCCCATGCTCCCACTGCCAGAGGACAGGGATGGATGGGGGATTGGGAAAGAATTGTTGGGAATTGGTTGGGATGGATTTCCCAGAGAAGCTGGGACTGTCCCTGGGTTCCCAGGAGTGTCCAAGGCCAGGCTGGAGTGCCCTGGGACAGTGGGGGTGTCCCTGGGGTGGCACTGGATGGGCTTTAGGATCCTTTGAGGTCCCTCCACCATCAAACCCCTCAGGGCCCGGATGGGATTTTCACAGCCTGGACCACCCTGGATTTGTGCCAAAATACCCAGCAGGGGAAAAACCCATTGTGAAACTCAGCGAGGAGCCTTTGTGAAACCCTCCAAGAGGAGCCCATCCAGGGCCAGGGCTCGGCCCCCAAACTGTCCCAGAGGCTGTGCAGGGGTTCTGTGGGCATGGCACAAGCAGTGCCAGTCATGCCTGGTGCCCATGCTCACCCCATTGTCCCCAGTGCCCACGCTCACCCCATTGTCCCCTGTGCCCATGCTCACCCCATTGTCCCCGGTGCCCACACTCACCCTATTGTCCCCAGTGCCCACACTCACCCCATTGTCCCTGGTGCCCATGCTCACCCCATTGTCCCCGGTGTCCACTCTCACCCCATTGTCCCCAGTGCCCATGCTCACCCCATTGTCCCCGGTG